AAGTAAAAACAATCAGAGCATCAAAATATGTAGTTACTTTTTGTAAAACAAACATCTGAGTGCAAATAAAAGCTAGCAGTACAGAACAGAGCCAACATCTGCACAGAACTATTTTAGATGTGTTCTGTTTGAAAGTGACAGCATATTGTGAACCTTTTGAAAATATTTTCAAAATGCAAGATAAAGAAAATAAGAAAAGAGAATGTTAAATAGTTTATGGTCAAAATATGACCTACATTAGACCAGAATGGTGTCTAAATTCTACGTGTCTGGGTTTCCATGGAAGCTGTAGTAATATTAAATACACTCCTTGTTGACTTTGAAAGTATAAATCCCATAACTGTTTACAGTGGAATTTACATGCATCAGAGGATTATCGAGTGCAGAGAATTTGTGAACTAACCTCTAACCATGGTAAAACTGAATTCAAACCTACAATGAGGGGTTCAAAGTCCATTTCAGTCAACAGGAATCTGTCCACTGAGTTCAATGGTCTTTGGATCAGGTCTTGCGTTTATACCTAGAAAAATGTGTGTTTAAAGTTTCCACACACAGTAAACTTTTTGTCCACATCACAAACCACTTTACCACCTAGTATGACTTATTTACTCTATTCAAGATCAGAACTTGAATCAAGGAATTGACGTGTTATGTTGCAGGAGGTGCAGCATGTGGCAATTTAAGCAGAACCCATTCACTCAAGGATGTGAAACTCTAATCAGTAAATTTAAAAAAAAGCCCTAAATACTATTTTCCTTAGTTTCTTTATTTGACAGGGCTGAATTTAGGATTCACTGCTGGCAACTATGTTTGGTAGCACTGCAAATTCCATAAACATTCAAGAGTTGCACAAATGAAGAACCAAGATATCTTGGTAGAAAAGATATAGATGAGTTGTTAATATTGTTGGGAGAAATATTAAACACTTCCAAAATAAATTTTCCAGGGCAACTTGTTTGTTTAGCTCTTTATTTATTGAGAGATTTTAAATGGGGAAACGGTGAACAAGAAACAGATACTTTCAGATATTCATACTGAACTTTGTACAACATTAAAATCTTTTCCCTGATATGACAGAGCAGAGGTAAAGTAGTTTGGGGTTTGTGGATTCTGCTGGCTTCATGTCCTACTTTCTCAAACTGACAGTCTCAGTAAATATACTATTAGAGTTGGAAGCCCTCATCATGATAGTAATTCACCAGACTCTTTTGTATTTCCCAAATGAAACAAGTTTTTTCATCTTAAATATTTTTCACAAGCGGTGTGAGAAATTTTTAAGTCACTCCACTGAAATCCAGCCCTAGCTTCTTGGATTTCAGAAAGATAGTAGTGGAGCAATAACAGTTTTTTATTTAGTAGTTTTTTGTAAATACTATATACATACAGTGACAGCCATGTGGAGAATGAATCTGAAGAACAATCATTTGTTTTGCTTTCATGTCAAATATAATAAATATACACCATAAATTTATGTAAGTGTATAAATTGAATATGAGAGTATATACTGAATATGAGAGTATACCAAACTGAAGTTGCTGAAAATATCTTGTTAGCAGCAGTTAAAAATGAATTTAGGTTATGATTTAGCAAGGTATTTAAGCATGTGTTTAACTTAAAGGACATGATTAGTTCCATTGATTATTACAGAGCTACTTGTATACTTAAAGTTATGTATGTTCTTACATAGCTTGTTAAACTGGACCCTCAACATTAAAAATAGATATAACAATCCTAACTGTTTATAAGTTTGCAAGATATTTGAGACTATTCAAACACACACAAACACACATATACACATACACTCAACGTGCAGTCATTATAGACTAATTTTTTGATCCATCCATTATTTTCCCATCCAATTGTCCAACATCATGATAAAGCTCCTTCTTCCCTTTACAGAGCTACTTATATACGTTTTATCACATGTGCAAACCACATGATGAATTTTAGACCATCTTCCCCCCGCCCAATCAAACAAGGTCCTCTTTATATCAAACAGAATTTGAGAAACAAAGTTTTCTAAGGCAAAGGACCTAAATGTTTCCTTCTGTGAAATGAAGAACTGATTGTGCAAACACACTTGTACTTTAAGTGTGTAGTCCCACTAAAGTAAATATGACAATTCACATTCTTAAATTTAGTTAACACTTTTTTTATTTGGGGATTAACTAGACCTGAAGAATAGGGGTGCCAGTTTCATATAGCCAAATGATAATGGCTGAGCTGGAATATCATATGTCAAGGTGGGGAAAAAAGTTTTTTTTTTACTTTTTGTTTTCCAAAATTTTTCATAATTAATCTTTCAATTCTTCCTGTCTGCCACTGAATACTAGACTTCTTATTCTAAGCCTTTAGCAACTTAATGTACCTTTTTAATAAAACAACAGGAATCCTAACTGGAAAGGCATTGTGACAAGGGAATTTTGTATTTTACTTTAGAGAAGATAAGAAACAAATAATACTGCCACAAAACAACACCCATTTTGTCTATGCACAGCATTCAGGTATATTAGGGGCTGTTCTCCTGATCCTTCTATAGTGTTGTAACAGCACATTTCAAGAGCAATCACATGAAAAATCCTCCCTCACTCTTTATACACAATTTGAGGAAGAATTTCAAAATAAGAGTATCTTTAGTTCCACTGAAACTTCTACAAGCTAATACACAAAACCAAGGAAAGTATATTTTAAAAATAAGACTTGAACTCATGTAAAATAAGGAAGGGGAAAATCGTAAGGCTTATATAGAAAAATAAAGCACTTTCAATTAACGAAGCCCAATTTTTAGTACCATACGTGTCTAAAACGGTATCTACCAGATGTCTAAATAACAGCCTCTCATATCCAGAGGAATGCTCACTCCTGAACATTTCTGTTAGTCTCCAAGATGACTTTAACTAAAGACTTTTCCCCTTTTTGAGCTGAAAAAGAAGGCCCTTGCATTTTCATAATCATTCCTTTCATTACCCAGCCATTCAGAGCAAGAAACAGCCTTTCAACTTAGTTTCACATTCAGCACTATAAGTTACAGAAACCAACCACCAAATTTAATTGAAAAGTTAACAAATCAAAGTATCTGTTGTGATGGGACTTATAGAAGAGTGATAGAAAACTTTATGATAGGATTCAGCAATGAAACTCCTTAAGACAGGTTTCCCTCACTTTATGCTGTACATGCCTTCCTGGAAAACAGTACATAAGTTGAATTCACATAAAAGGAACCCACTTTACAATGTAACAAATAGGAATGCATTCCAAGACCTCCACTGTACTGAATCCAGAGTCATTTCTACCCCTTTTACAAGACAATTTTGGTACTCACCAATAGTACACACAAGCACAGAGCACTATCATAATGTGATGGCAACTACAGAAACACGTGCTGCAGACTACAAGTGAGGAGCACAGATCCACACAGGGGACTATATTTGGGTGCGCATCACCCCCACAATACATTGCACAAAGCAGCTGACTGTGGGCTTTCACCATGCCAATCACATAACAGTGAATTTACCTCGCATATAATAAATTTTTTATATAAAAAGGGTCATTGTGTAAGAGCAAATTCACACATACAGTACCCACATAAAATGAAGGAAACCTGTATGTGGTGATTCCCTGCAATGCAGGAGTTGAGGAAACTTAGGCCGGTAAGGAGAGAATCATAACTAAAGAACATTAACAGATTCTGGGAAAAGTGTTTAGAAATTTGGACAGCATTTTTCATTCAATACCAACAATAAAGATTAGTAATAAGTAATATTAAGTTAGTTCTTCTTTCTTTACACAATGGAGACCAATGCTAGATTGTGATTTTTTTCACTTTGTGTAACTTCTTGAATGCAATTCTTAGCGACTTATGCAATTACTGTAATTACACCTAATTACCTAATTGTATAATTGTTTTTAATTACACTCATAGTGTACATACTTAAAATTACAAAATTAGAGCATTTAATTACATAAATCCATTATGAAGCTTCATGAAAATAATGTTTTGCACATGTTCAGTTAGCAATATTGTAAGCCCAACATTTTGGCCTTTGCAGTTTTTTCTGATTATAATATTAAAACAATTAATCTACATTATGGCTGAATTGCCTGCTAAATGTGACGAGGTAAAGGCAAAAGTTTAGATGCAGGTGTGCTAAAGCCAGAATTTTACCCAATACCTTTTATATCAATTTTCTAGTCACATGTAGTGGGGGTGAGACAGGGCACTTCTGACTAGTTTTTACTTCATGGGAGCCAAACTTCATTGTAAACAGACATAGGTTTATCACAATCCCTGAAGACTAAACCTTGTTGTTAGGTTGGGCAGAAGAGAGAGATTTGGCTTCAGAGATGGTATGAAAACAATTTGACAGACTCTTAGGTATCCAGCTCGTAAATGACAAAGAAAAATATTAGATGCTCTGCATACCTAGATGGCATTCAGAGACTAAAGTGATAGGTGTACTAGAAATGTTAAAGATCAAGATCAATATGATGCTTTGTTTCTATTGTTCTTATATCATTTCCTGACCCTCAAGCTGTTCTATGTATTTAAATCCCAGTGAACACAATGGGAGATTTGGCTGCAAGACTGAAAGGTCTGAACTTAAATATTTAATTCTGAAGGTTGAAAAACTGTATTGAATTTAACTGTAACAACTGGGAAGCTTGTACAGCTAATCTCGAGTGGTTTTGCACTGAATCATGTATGGCTTACTAAATTGACTTTAAATGTCTTTTGTCTTTTGTCTCTCTATACAATAATATATTGTTGCCTGGTAGGATTAAAGCATGAATAAATTAAAATTGCTTGATAAGAAATTACAGTGGTTTAGTCAGATATCCAGCTCATGTTACAGTTCCATGTAAAATGCATTAATTTGTCATTGCACCTAAATTTGCCTTCTATAGCTATGATGTATTTGTCAGTTTGTATGAAAATGTCAGGCTTTCTAATGTTTGAGTAGATCCTAACATTTTCCTCTTAACTATTTTCTTTTTCTTAGTTAACCAACTGACTTCACGATGACTGAGGGCTTAGATTCCAGATTCAGTAACCTTACTTGGGATCAGATTAGAATATTGGATCAAGTACTAACTGAAGTGATACCTATTCATGGAAGAGGAAATTTTCCAACACTAGAAGTAAAACCAAAGGATATTATTCATGTTGTAAAGGAACAACTGATTGAGAAGGAAATCAGTGTTAGAGACATCCGCCTGAATGGTTCAACAGCTAGCCACATCCTTGTAAAACAAAAGGGAACTAGCTACAAGGATTTAGATATCATTTTTGGTGTTGAACTTCCAAGTGAACATGAATTTCAGGTTGTTAAGGAGGCTGTTCTGAATTGCTTACTGGACTTTTTACCAAAATGTGTCAATAAAGAAAAAATCACTGCTCAGACTATGAAGGATGCATATGTGCAGAAGATGGTCAAAGTCTCCACTGATCATGACCGCTGGAGCCTTATATCATTGTCAAACAACAGTGGCAAAAATGTAGAACTAAAATTTGTAAACTCGCTCAGACGACAGTTTGAATTTAGCGTGGACTCTTTTCAAATTATCCTGGATTCCATATTAAATGTTTACAGTGACACAGACTGTGAATTGACAGAAGACTCGCATCCTACTGTTATTGCAGAGAGCATGTATGGTGACTTCAGAGAGGCAATGGACCATTTAAAATACAAACTTATTTCCACGAGGAACCCTGAGGAAATCAGAGGTGGAGGCCTTCTGAAATACAGCAATCTCCTGGTTCGTGATTTTAAGCCAGCGGATGAGGCTGAAATCAAATCTTTGGAACGTTACATGTGTTCCAGATTCTTCATTGATTTTCCTGATGTGGCTGAGCAGCAAAGGAAAATTGAGTCATACCTGCGCAACCACTTCATTGGGGAAGAAAAGAGCAAATATGACTACCTGATGACTCTGCGTGGAGTTGTAAATGAGAGTACAGTATGTCTCATGGGACATGAACGAAGACAAACTCTGAACATGATTACAATTCTGGCTTTAAAAGTACTAGGAGAACAAAATATCATCCCAAATGCAGCCAATGTTACATGCTACTATCAGCCTGCTCCATATATCAGTGATAGAAACTTCAGTAATTACTACATTGCTCATGGACAGCCACCTGTCATCTACCAGCCATACCCATTTCACATACAAATGCAAAGTGGCATGGTTTAGAAAAACATTAACCTCTCACTGCACACCCACCCCCTTCCAATACTTTCCACAATAAAGGCCTCGTTAAAGCAAGTTTTACAATCACTTTTGATTTTAGGACTTTCTTGCAGATTGCCAACGGTCTTGATCAGTCAGTACTTAAAATCATTGTTACACAAGGCATCTGATAAGTTATGTACATGTAAAATTGCTAGCCACTATTCTACAAATTCATGATGCTCTTCATATTTTCCTAAAACAGAAATACTCTGTGACTGAGTTTTACATTCCTTTGAGCCAAAAAGTGAAAGATGTAAACAGTTCTAATTTTACAAATTACTATAGGCAGTGGTTCTAAAGAATTATTTCATATAATTTAAACAGCGTAATTGGAAAAATATGCTAAAAGGTATTTAAGGTTGTTCCGTAGAAAGACCTGATTTTGAAGTCAACGGATTTAAAAAATATTGGCATTACAGATATAGTAAACAAACTGGACCAAATTTGTCAGCTGTACCCAACTCAAATACAGTTGGAGTCGCAGTGCATTTTCAAATTTGCACTGGTTGACTGAGTTTGTTAAATATCCCAGTAGGTTAAATTCTGCTTTCTGGGTGCAAGCCAGCAAGATGCCAAACAATTCTCAGCTCCCATTAAAGACATCAGTACTTGAGGATAGTTTCCTCACCTGTGTGCTGCTCAACACCTAACAAGATTAATTAACACCGTAGCCCAATTCTACAGTCTGTGTCCACCCCAAATTCCCCCTGATTTCATTGAGAAATACGGGTAGCCAAGGAATGCAAGGCTGGCCTCTTGGTTTGAATTCCACACAAAGAAGTTGCTTAAGCAGGTGATTTAGTCATTCTGCTCAATTAGTCATGAAAAGCAAGCCAAAATCATGAGGGAGAAGGTGACTGTTCTGCACATGGATGTTTTCGTTCCCTAGATATTTAATAGTAACCAGAAATAAAGTAAGCTACATGAATACCAAATGGTAATCAGGAAAAAAAAGGGACTGTGTGATTTTTAAGTGATTTTAAAACCATGTTCTTAGCAGGGGCATTTGATATACTATTTTATACTAGAAGTGTCCTGTATATGCTTAGACGTCTGTGCACATACAATAGTAGCAAATCAAAATCTCTCTCATGATCTCATTTTTTGAGTGTGTTTACCAAAGATAAGTTTCAAACATGTCACTTAAGTGCCTCCCTGTGCCAGTTGTTCCATGAAAAGTGTAATGTATTGTAGAACATGTCATATTAGATAGCTCCTGAAATAGAAATGAGGGTATGTGAAATATTGTGGTTGGAACTCCACCTCTGGCTTACAAAATATCCTCTTCTCTTAAAACGTGGTCCAATCCTGCAGCACTGAAGTCAATGGAAATTGTACCATTCACTTCAATGTGTCAGCACCACAATCCTACTCCCATTGAAACAAGACAAGTTCAGCAATTGACTCCAATGCAAGGAGCAGATATTGGAAAAGCTCACAAATAAAAAACATAATTAGAGTAGATTCTGTTTCAAAATATAAGCTGTAAGCCAGTTGAAAAATGCAGCAAGAGGTGTTGTTAGTTCTGATGCTTTGTATGTCACTTGCTTATCCTTGGAGCTAATGATAAAGTGATGCATCATTTTACATCATGTTATGCAGACCAAAGTATTGACTACATTTTATTTGAATAAAAACAACTCTCCAGTTTTAGAAATATGTGCAGTTTGAAAAAAAAAAAGGTTTGAGTTAATGTATGTATTGGTACATTAAATCATACATTTCCAAATTTATATTTCTAAGATCTATGGTCTGTAATTATCCGCTTGCCAATGAAAGTAACTTTACTGAGGCCCACTTATGATCTCGCCAGTAGATTAAAAAACTGTTTGTAAGACTGATTTGTTGACTTTTCCCTCTTGAGTGAATTCCTTTTAGTATAATGTAGTGCAATATAAAACTGCTCCATACTATGGAATGATGTACATGAAATGATTGTAAGAGGAATAAGGGTGCAATAATCCACTTGGAGGCAAATGAACAGTGCAATGTCTTTCATGAATACATTATCTTGTTTTTAATTGATTTATCAAATATGTCCAATTGCATGTCTCAGGGCACATTTAGTTCAATTTTCAATGATTATGATCTTACCACTTGCGTCAATTGTATTTAATAAAATAGGCAATTTTAATTTCTATGTTACTGTATTGCTGTATGGAACTGAAGCACTTCCAAAAAAATTCCACTAGTAAAATAGTGGTCCACATACACAGGGCAGTACATTTCTAACAATAGAACCTGTGATTTTCATCTGCTTTTCACCAAAAGGAATAGTGCTGTATACTGCTCCATAATGCCATTTATACCATGACTCTTCTGGTACTTATGCTTGTACTTAATTTTCAGCCCATCTGCAATCTCATTGACTTCCATGAGACTATTTATTAAAGTTATGCACAACTAATTTTCAAAGGAGCCTAAGTTGGACAGTTGAGCAAATCTCATGGAATGTCAGTGGGAGCAGGGTGCTTCTGAAAATCCCTATCCCACAGTTATAAATGATACAGGTTTGGGGGTACTGATATGGTGATTTTATATTAATTGCAGCCAAAAAAAAATGTAAAGCTTCCTTAGCTGTGATGGGAATTTTGTAGAGAAATTTGATGACCTAAAGAATCAAAACACAGATCCGTAAAGATGGAGGGTTTTCTTCCATCCCCTGCACATCCAATACATCAGTAACTGGAGAAACATTTAACAATGTTATCAGTTTGTACTAACAAGTAGTAGCATCATAATGCAACATTTCTGTGTAGTAGGACTATCACGCTTATTTGGCTAGTGAAGAAGTCCTTGTTAAAAAGTACAGCTAACGGTGAAATAGCTGCAGGTATGTATAAACTAACTTGTGCTATCATACAGCAACTGCTCAGATTTTCTTTTCTTTTCTGGATTTTTTAAAGTACTTGACACATCTCTGTTTAAATCCAGGTTAGACAATGAGGGACGGATCCAGAAGTCACTGAAGTTACTGGAATGAATCTAGTTGGCTTAAGTGGGCTTTGGATTTGATTGTAAGGGAACATAAAGGACATATTTATAGTACCTACAGGTAAATGTATAAAAGACATCAATATGCAAAAATGTCTCAGGTATAAATAAACCCTTTTAATTTATTAAAAAGGTCTTGTATTTCTTAGGTAGAGGTAGCCATTCAATTTTGAAGGCTATTGGGGGGTAATGATTTGATACACACACACATACACACACATTATATATACATACACAAACAATTAAAAATATAACTTTTTAAATGTTTCATTGAATATATCATATAAATAATTAGCAGCAGTATCAAACCTGGATATTTTTAAAGACAGTACTGATTCTGTAAATTAATATTAGAGACAGGGATGTGATATATACATATATGTATACTGCTGCTTGAAAAAATATTGACATCAACATGTAAGATATGATACTGTAACCTCTTCTCCAGTCCTTATCTATTTTACTATGTGCAAATATAAATCTCTACAAAGAATTAATTCTGAGACTTTTTTCGGTACCAGTATCTTGAGCTTCATGTTTACATTATTAACTTGTTGTTACAATCTGTTTAATAATTATAACAACTGGGAAATGTAATGCTGATTTTATTTAATCATATTCAAAACTTCTCAAAGTTTACAGTTTAAAGTAATCTAATGTTGTCAGGATGTAAGTGTAAAAGTTTCAAGTGCTTTCTTAAAAATGTCATTTGAATTTTGTGTTATATTGTAAAAGGTCCATTTGAAGCATATTCTTTCTGGTATTTTGTTTCAATTGTAATTTGTGAGCTTTATACTCAATACATTACGAGGTTTTTGCAATGGATAACCAAGGTGTGAAACTGTCCTCTGTCATGATGTTATATTGTCTATTGTGTTACACTGATCCTACAAATGTATAAAAAGTAAAACTGATAGATCTGGTTTACCATAGAGTTACTCCAGTTTTATACCTTTGCAGCTCTACTGATGTCAGTGGAGTCATACCAACATGAAACTGGCATAGCAAAGTGGTGAATTGGAAATTATGTTTGTAATTAGAAATATTTTTGGAAAGGACAGCAAAAGAAGTTTAGGCAGTTCAGTATTGCAAGAAATCCTACCTATTCTCTCCCGTTTGGTGTGTTTTTCTATTAAAAATGATGAATATTCAGGAATACATCTGTTATGATAAGGAAGTATTTTACTTAATGTGCCATCTGAAGTTGTTGAAGAATATTGTAATGCTAATACTTTGTATTAACCGGACAAATTTGTAGGTCATTAGTCCACAGTGTTGACTAGTGCCTTTGGGTACTTGGGGAAAAATCATTAAAATAACCTTCTTGTTATTCCAGATGCCTGGTTTACTTCAAATATATTTATTTGTTAAAACGCTGTTTTTAACATGATGACCACTTGCTGTGGATGCATGACTGGCAGATTGGCATGTTATAGTAGCAGGAACAATTAAAGAGGATAGTATGGTTAGTTAAATCAGTAAACCATAAATTGAATTTTGCCATTGATCCACAGTCAAAATTAATAGTTATTTAAAGGAATTCCACATTCAAAATGAGTTGGTCTTAAAGTATGATAATTATGATAAATTATAACAACCCTTATACTATTCATGCAAAACATCTTAGGTCAACAATTCATATTTTAAGTATCTAAATAAATATTTATCTAATACAGATTTAATAGATTTCATAGACATTAGGGCTGGAAGGGACCTCAGAAGATCATCGAGTCCAGCCCCCTGCCCCAGGGGCAGGAAGTCAGCTGGGGTCATAGGATCCCAGCAAGATAAACATCCAAATTTCTCTTGAAGGTGTTCAAAGTAGGTGCTTGAACCACCTCTGGCGACAGTCTATTCCAGATGTGATTGTCTATTGGGTAAATGATACATGTATCAAAATACATACTTAAATGGGTAATGTATTTGACTTCAGATATGATTGGATTGATACCATACCTACTGTGAATACCTGTTTACATATGCCTAACTACATATTTATCCAAGACACTTAAATCTGTGCTGACAGAGAAGCAATCCTTATTTAATTCCTCATGACTTCATTGGACATTGCAACATACAATATGCATTCTTGAGAAAAGAAACGCACATAATTTAGTTTTTAAATTGAACCTTATTTTTCTTTAATCTTGTATTTATTTTATTTATTCCCTTTATTCACGTCCTAAAATTTACTCAGATAAAATCCCACTGGAAGCCATGAGAGAATTCATGAGTTTTTCTATAAGGTGTGTAGGATTAGGTCTCTGGGTTTATATTGGCCTCTCACAAAAACTCTGTCCAATTTCTGAGCAGTCTACAACATATGCTGGACTCCTACTAAAATATTTTTTTAAATTCTAAAATGTGAGGCAATTTCCCTTGGTCATATCCTATAACAAATCCAGGGCAACAATAAACAGTACTTCCTTACCCCTTCCACATAAATGCATGAAATAGAGTCGTACTGTGATATGCTCCTGGTTTAACTTAGTTTAGGTGGTTACTTTCCTGTCTTCCATGTTTTTCTGATGGGTCTAATATTCCCTTCCCAGATTTTTGAAGGCTGTCTTCCTGGGTTTCATAGAATGACAGCACAGGTCTCATCTCTTCTGGTATGATATCATGGCAGCTCAGATCACAAAGGCACTCCAGCTAACACCACTTGCTAGACTGGGAAAGGGCAATCTTAGCTCTGGTATTTATTTCAGCCTTGTTTTAACTTATATCTGCCTCAATTTTTTGCTGCATGGCTTATCAGAAATCACAGACTTTTATCCAGCAAAAGAATGGCTGTGTCATTCTGGGGGGTGTTGGGAGTGCTTTGGAAAAAGTCCAGCAGTATTTGGCAAAAGGGTGTTGATTTTTTTTTCTATTTTGGTCTCCATTATCTTAATGTTTTAGTTTCTGTACGTTTGTACAAAGCACAGTGATTTATTTAAAAATATACTGGCCTAGAACCTAAACAACTAGTTTCTGCAAAGTCTAATCTGAAGGGTTCAAAAAAGTTCCATGGAGTTAAAACCTCTGAAAATGTGGCTCATAGTATCCTGCGTCATGTTTCAGTCAAAGACAAGTGGCGATTCCCAGTGACATGAAAGAGGGAGCGCAAAACAGGTTGGGTTTCTTAATGCTACTTAACCCTGCTTTATCTGAACATGCCTTAAATGTTTTCTGTTGTCAGTTACACTAATATACAGTTGTACTATTATTTCCTTCGCAAGAATTGACTAAAAGCCCTATAATAAGAAATTGTTACAGAACATGACAGTTTATCCTTTTTAAGCTGCTGTAAAACGACAGGCACAATTTTCTAAAGCTTTCAGTATTGGTCTAACTCTTCCTATTGAAAAAAATGAATTCCTAATTGACTTCCTAATCAAAAAAATCCTGTCAACTTCAACATGAGAAAAATTAAACCAATCCTCAGCATTTTTAAAGCCACACCTGATATACATGAAATTCATGAAAGCTACAAAGCAGAATGTCAGTCTTTTAGTCAGATGTACATTCCTGCTAAGAATGATTAGCAGGAATACAGATAAACAAGCAATAGTGTGCTATCTATAATCTGATTTTTGGATGTCCTTGCTGGCTTTCCATGTAATAAACTGAAAGATGATTGTATGCACTGCCGTGTACAATCAAGAAAGGTTACAAAATACTGATCTCTGTACACTGTTTTTTTAGTGTAATTAGATCATTAGTTTGAAGTAAGCTGCTGTACCTTCCTCTTGCACATTTTGCTTTCCAGAAAAACACTTGGAAAGCCAGTTTCTGCCATTAGCATGTCCTGCATGCAGTTATTTCATTCTTAGCCTACAATAAAGGCAACCTTGGGTGTTTTTGCAGACCTTTGGCTTGTGGCATTTAGAGATTCTGCTGATAGGCCTTGGCCAGGCCTAATGGTACAAAAGGGTAATGCTGGATATTGCTGAAAAAAAATCAAGGGCAAACCATAGAACCCTCATGTTGTGAGCGCTTTCTCATGCAAACACATCAATGGGACTGCTCAAGTGACTAAGCCCAGTCTGCATGCCAGTAAGTGTGCCTTTGTTACCTCCTAGTGGCTGGAACATAAAAACAGATTTATGATGACTATTACCAGCTTCAAACTAGCAGGCATGACAGCTTTGTTCCACCTGTAGAAGCTTGTCTTTTTAGGGTCATAAATCCTTGGTTTGGTCCTTAGTTCAATACCCAGTTGGAAGCTGTGTTACATAAGAATTGCACACTCTAACCCTAACTAATCTGAAAATCACTTTACCGGTTTTGTGTGGGAAATTTTATTTGGGTAGGAGGATGACTTTCATATACCCTCTACATGTAGGCTTCTCCACAGCAGCTATTTAAGTCCATGAACTGGAATAATCCCCTGCAAGGAGTTTTGTGGCCACTAGATGCTGCAAGTGCAGAGCAAGTTTCCCTTTTCCTGGTTTATTCTTGGGACAGCTCAAAACACAACAGCCCAGGTCAGGGAAAAAAAAAAGCCCTCTTCAGAGAGTAGGGGTGCCAGAGGCCCCTTCCACTTGACTTTTTTTTTTAATCCTACCCCTCTGCAGAGGATAAAAACTGGGCTGCAGTGCTTGGCAGGAACTCTGAACTGTTCATTTTTGAAAAACCTGCTAGTTTCAGAACAGGAACCCACACTTCATTTGCAGTAGTTTGTTATCAGCCGAAGGGCAATATAACTGTTTACCAATTCCTCTGCTTCGTGCTGGCTCGCAATCAGAAGGAATTTATATGACATGAAGTCATGGCCCTAGTGCAAGATCTCAAAATTCCAGTCTGGGTTTTATTTATTTGCATTGTTTGCTCTCCATTCTTACCAACACACTGACCTGGTTCACATACAGCAAGGGCTTCCTGCCTTGTTTAGGCCTGATTGATCTGACTCAACCACTTATTTAATGAAAACTGTAGCTGATTTGCCCCTAAACCATGTGTCTGACTGTCTTTATTTTGCAGTCTGGCACACAATGGAAGCCTGTGCAAAATCCCACACAAATGCCATTTTTGGAAACAGGTACTAGACCTATGGCAGACTCATTTCCATTTGTCTTTCTAATCTGAGGATATAGTCAGACATAGCACCTCTTTGGCCACAGCAATTTTAAGGCATTCTAAATCAGCCAAAGTCTAATCAGATTGTTCTCTCTGGGAAAATATTTACTCTTCTCCCTACTTCTGTGTTGTTCCTAACTTGCATTAAAATTGTTCTTAATGTTTTGTCATTGATACTTGTCATTCATTTTGATTAGGCCTGCATAAACTCAGATTTTGGAAAGTGTTATTTTACTGTTAGCAAATGAAGTGGATTGTTATATGCACAGGAGCAGGGGCCATTTGGGTGGAAACATTTTTTTCAAACCTGATTTGGGCTGTTGTTAACTCTCCTGGAGTTTTCTAAAGCATCCACAATGGTTCTTTTTATTATTCTCAGTTTAAGTATTTTGTGCATCGCATGGAGTCAATACTAGAAATACTGCCTTGTGAAGCAGAAAGAAATTGCAGATAAAATCACCATGAACTGCACAGAAACATTCCAACACTCCCATAATATACATAAGTGGGTTCATGGTCATTTTCTAATTTCAGCCCACTGGGTTAGACTCTACTCTTGATCATTTGCACAGGACTCCTTCAGCTTTAAACAGCTGTACATTGTCCACAGGAGTAAAAGGTTCCCAAAGTCCACATGGATTATTTTTAACATGTATAATCAGACTTTTTCAAACATTTATTTTCAATAGAAAAATGGAAAGCTTTTGTAAAATGCCCTCTTCTCCCACTGTTAGATCAGAAATAGTACAGCTGGAGTGTTGCCATGCATCAAAAATAAAATATTGCATTGTAAAATACTTTGCCAGCAATTGGAGAGAAAATTTCATGACCTCGGTTTTTAAACCACTTTTTACTACAATTTGAAACGAACAGCTTCAGCAAATGTGATCTTAGCCATTCTTAAGATTTACCCACATTCTACTTTGCCCCTAAGTTTAAAACCATTTAGAACAGCATTAGGAAAACTGGAAAACAGCCTACAAAAGGGCTATTTGTTTAATAAATTATCTAATATCTTTTTGAGGAAACCAATTTGCCCCTTCTGAGCTACAGGTGTCATGAGAAAAGTAATGAAAGGATAGAACTTGGGCTATTTTTTGCACTATTTTCCATTATTTCTCCCCAACGGGCACATCTACACATGTACATTTACTGCACAGTAACTGAAATTATTGCTCAGTACAGGTGTGTGTCTACATGTGCCTGCCCATACTGCACAGTAAATATGGTAACTTAAGCTGACATGAGCATAAATTTGATAAATGCATC